CCTCCCAGCCCTCCTATCTGCTGCCCCACTCTGCCCGGGCAAAACCCCCCCCCCCCCCCGCCCGCCGCCACCGCCTTGGGCTGGGTCTCCCCTCCCACGCTTCCCCACAGTTCTCCAGTGTCTTTCCCACAGTTCTGTGCAGTTCCCGGCTTTCCCTCCATGCCTTATCTGGCTTGTGAGCTCATGCTGGTGTTCTAGCCCCGACCCTTTCAGTTGATTCCCTCTCATGTCACCCCTCCACTTTCATACATTCCCACAGTGCAACCAGAGGTGCCGATCCCCTTCTGTTGCATTTCCCTCTCCCATCAGACTGGAGATAAGGCACACATTTATAATGGTGAGATTATCTAAACATTGGAAGAATTTACCATGGGGGATGGTGGATTCGCCAATTTGAAAGCAAGACTGGATGTTTTTCTAACAGGACAGGCCTAGGAATTGTTTTGGGGCAGGTCTCTGGCCTGTGCTATGCAGGAGGTCAAGCTGGGTGGTCACAAAGGTTGCTTCTGGCTTTGGAATCTATCAATCACCTGATAGTGGGGTGGATTCGTTAGGCTACTTTCCCTGGCCCCGCTACTTTATCCACCAATGGATGGTCCATCCACCTGGTGGTGGACTGTGACCCACCTCCATTTCTTTATGGTGGACTCTGACCCACCTCCACTCCAGCAGCTTCATTCATGGGGAAAGGGGAGGCGACGGAGGGAGGGGAACACCCAGCACTCCTCAGCTTTCTCCCCTGTGGTCACCACCACCATCGCTGGTCCTATTGCAACACCGGTGGCAGCATAAGAGCGGCCATACTGGGTCAGACCAATGGTCCAGCCAGCCCAGTAGCCTGACTTCCGACAGTGGCCAGTGCCAGGTGCCCCAGAGGGAATGAACAGAACAGGGAATCATCAAGTGATCCATCCCCTGACGCTCATTCCCAGCTGCTGGGCCAGGTAAGGACTCTATTGCTGACGCTACCGCCACCAGTGAGACCTCTGCTGCCAGCAGAAATGGCCAAGGAAAGCAAAAAGGGGAAGGGCCCCATCAGGAAGTCCTCTTCTGCGGTGATTGCACCCAGCTAGGGGGAGGGGGAAGCAGTGGTGAATTACTGCACAGGCTCATGGGGCCCGGTGCCCAGGGGCCCTAGCCAATTTGTGGGCCCCAAAAAAGTCTCCCTCCACCACGGTCCCGGGGCAGGAGCTCAGTCTCAGGGCCAGCGGGGGGAGACAGTGGAAATGGGGGGGGGAGGCCTCAGGGGAGCAGTGGAATGGGTTGGGGCCATGGGGGGGGGGCCACAGGGGGAAAGGGCAGAACAAGGGAGAGGTTCTGGGCTTGAAGCTCCAGCCATGGCCAAGAGCTCTTCCGTGGTCCCGGCCGGGGCTGAGAACTCGACTCTGGCCGGGGCCAAGCTCTCAGCCCCCCACTCCATGGCCTCGACCGAACTCTCATTCCTCCCACCCCCAGAGAGGGGGGCAGAGAGCAGTGAGTGGGAGTGAGGCCTCGGTGGGAAGAGGGAGGGTGTTGGCTAGAAGAGGCGGGGCAGGGGGCAGGGCAGGGGCCTAGCTTCCCCAGGGGGAAACTTCTCCCGTCACCCATGACAGTGAGGAAGTGAGTCCCAAGGGGTCCTTTGTGTTGTCCCTGCTGGTATCTTTGCCAGGCAGGTGCCTCATCAGGGCAGGCTCAAGCCGTGTCCTCTGCTGTGTCCTGAGGGGCTGCCCCTTGGCCTGGCAAGAAGGGGAAACACTCTCCCCACCCAGGTCGGCACCGACACTGACGGTGACCAAACCTGCTTGGGTTACCCCCCTCGTCTACCATCTGACAACGCCAGTGGTGGCTACTACCCCACGGTGTGGGCAGCCCCCCCCTCCCCACCGCGGACAGTCTCCTACCCCGGTCCTCTGAGTAAGGGTGATGATCCAGAGTAAAGGAGAGGGGACACCCCCCCCCCATGTGGTGTCCCTGCCCGTTGTCCCACCCCCAGGCTTCCTTTAGCCCTTGTGTTGTCACACTCAAACGCCGGGCCCCCTCCTTCTCGCCCACCCGCTGATACCCTCCATCAGGGCTGGGCATTGGGCTGCCATGACATAAATTGCCGCTGCAACACCTCTCAACTGCTCTGGAGGGCGCGTCCAGGTTCCACCCCCTCGGCCCCAAGCAGGTCCAGCAGGTGGCGCTGCCTGAGTGGCGCAGTGACACATATTGGAACAATGCGTGGGGAGCACATGTGGGTCAGAGCAGCAGGGGGCAACTAGCGGAGCAGGGTGGGTGGGAGGGGGCAGGCGGAGGTGCGGTCCTTTTTCCAACCATCACCCTGTCGGGCTGTGCTCTGGGGGGCCAGCACACCCCTCGATGACAAACCTTATCGGTGGGAGAGAGACCCTCCAGACACCATTTTTGGAAACCTAGTTGGACCCTGCCGCCGCCAAGAAGAAAGTAGCGGTGCTCCAAACACAGCATTGGGGTACAAGCCCTCCATGAACCAGGGTCATCCGCCAAGGGACCTTTGCGTCCGCGAGCCCGGAAGCGCTAACAACACAGATGCTTACGGAGGGAAAGGGGCAACACCCCCTCCACTGACATACTTCATTGGAGTTGGAAAAAGAGAGTGGCGGGATTTGTGCCTCCCCCTACAAATAGCCCTCTTTGTTCGCCCAATCATTTGTCCCCACAGCCGCTCCCCAGGCTCCCCCCGCAGGAGGCCAGCGCCTGGGAAATGACTGCCGGAAGGGATTTCCTCTGAGCCAAGAGATTCTCCCTACACACCTAGAGACAAACCTGAAAACTCACTGAGTTGGCAGCTGCCTGATCTGCAGTCCGTGGGGCTCAGGGCTGTGTCCCTTAAAGGCCATTTTTATTCATTATCCGTGGCAAAGGACTCTGGGAGTTTGCGAACGTAAATTCTACTTTATTATTTCAAAGCAAGAAATAAAAGCTAAGCCCACCTACCACCCAGGGCCCAGCTCAGCCCGGTGCCCCATCCCAGCACCCTGCTGCTCCCGCTTCCCCCAGATGCCAGCGACAGCAACTTTTTAAAGAGGGTGGGAAAGTGTAGAGAATCCGTGAGCGATGCTGAGCTTCAGTCCCATGAACAAACGCTCCGGGAGCAGGAAATCCAGAGAACGGAGTGAATTTACAGAAGCGTCGGCATCTTCCATCCCAGCAGAAGCTTTTATCCCCACTGCAGACACCCCTGGTTAGTGGGGCGGACAGTGTCTCCGTCGTCCCCACGCAAGACACTACGGTAGTTGGGGAAGGGGTGACCAGCGCTGTCAGGCTCCTTACTGCCCGCTGGGCCTCAGAGATGGGGACCAGCCTGAATTCAGGGCTGGCCTGGCCTGTTGCCGTCCCGGGGTTCTTTCTTGGCTCTGCTCAGTCTCATTCTTTCAGGAATCCGGGGGTCACCGCGTCATTCCCTTTGGAGAACGTGACAAAGTCACTTAAAACTTCTAAGGGCACGTCTTCACTACCCGCCGGATCGGCGGGTAGCAATCGATCTATTGGGGATCGACTTATTGCATCTAGTGAAGACGCGATAAAATCGATCCCTGATGGCTCTGCTGTCGACTCTGGAAATCCACTGTAGCAAGAGGCGGAAGCGGAGTCGACGGCGGCGCGGCAGTGGTCGACTCGCCGCCATCCTCACAGCCAGGTAAGTCGACCTAAAATACGCAACTTCAGCTACGCTATTCACGTAGCTGAAGTTGCATATCTTAGATCGACCCCCCCCCCCCCGTAGTGTAGACCTAGCCTTATAAGATACTTCCTGTCTCTTTCTAGCTGCAGTGCAGCGAGTTTTCAGTTCTCAGCCTTGGCCATCTGGCTCTCAGGAGCAAACCCTGCAGTTTCCTAGCTCTGTATCCCCCACCTCCCATGCTCTCCCACTCCTACCTGGGATATTATCTCACCCCTGGGATCAGGCAGTTACCTTCCTTTCCCCTTTTCAGGCTCTGCCTCTCCATGACTTTCACATGTACCCATCAGTGTTTGTGTCAGCAGTTAATTGAAAATCAGTTCTTTATAACTAATGGATGAACTGTTCAACCAATATTAAAATCTCATGGCAGAGAGTGACGAAAAAGCAAAAACAATGAAGGGATATTGTGCCAAATAGTCATTTGTCTCATAAATTTCCACAATAAAACTATGCAACTCCTCCCCCCCCCCCGCCGTCAAACAAAAACTAATATCCAAGTATGTGACAAAACAGAATACAGGGAGTTATAATGCACTTCCAGGTTTAGATCATGTGAAATTCTGGAGCATGTTGCAGTTGACCCGAATTCAGGAGAACAGATTTCCCTGTGTTCTCTTCTATACCAGCTAAACTTCCTTCCCTTGATGCCTCATTATTTAGCGATGTTATCTACAGAACTTTCGCATCATCAGCATGAAAGAAAAAAACCACCTTCCCATCTGCACACAACCGGAGCTTGGCAGGAAAATACCCGGCAGGCTGCTTTACTGCAAGATGGCAACTGGGACTTAAGCTGAGAAGGATCACCCGTGGGGTTTGGGATTCATTGGAATTCCCCCTCCTGGTCTGTGACACTTTCATTTCCAGCTCTCGTGAGTCTGATTTAGGCTCAAAGAAATCAACACATGATGCAAAAGCGCGGAGAGCAGAGAACGCTGGGTCATGGGACGCTTGGGGAGGTGGAGGAGTAGAATCAGGGGATAAATGCTCAAGGTTCAAGCAGAAAACAAAACTGCTGCGTCCAGAGGGCAGCCCTTCTCCCCCCCTCCCCCCCCCCCCCGCAAAGTGATACAGAAGCGGCAAGAACTCATTTTTCTATCCATGCTCCAGCTTTGTTTTAGAATCTAATTATGGTTCATAAAAGAAAAAAAAAGGTACAAAGAAATAAATGCTCTCCCGCCACGTGACAATAGTTGGGAACAAGACATGTGATGCTAACGATCACAGGCACCAGCTTCCAATTGTCCTGGAGGGTGCCCAACCCCAGGCCCCAACCACACCTCACCCCTTCTCCCAAACCCCCACTCCCGCCCTGCCTCTTCTCTCCCCCCGAGCACACCCAGTCCTTGCTCCTCCCCCTCTCTCCCGGTGCCTGCTGCACACCATGGAACAGCTGATCCATGGCGTGCAGGAGGCACTTGGAGGGCGGTGGAGGAGTTGATCGGTGGAGCCGCTGGTGGGCAGGAGGTGCTGTCAGTTGGTGGTAAGCACCCAGTCATTTTTTTCTGTGGGTGCTCTGGGACCTTCCCCGGGTCTTCTTCTCCTCTGCCTGGGATTTGCTTAGACCAGGCAGAACCAGAGGGCCACTGACAACTCAGGTTCAACTGCTGCTGGAGTTGCTCATGTCCACTATATCGTTTGCTCCAGCTGAAATCTTCCATGCTAAGGACATTTCAGAGCTCTCTTCCCTGTCTGAATTTGCTGTTGGCGAACGGGATTGAATTCCAACTGAAGCATCACCCACGTTCAAGGTTTCTCTCCTAAGTGGAGTCTCTGATGCGTAATTAGGTTCGAGCTCTGATTGAAACTTTTCCCGCAGTCTGAGCATTTATAGGGCTTTTCTCCCGTGTGAGTCCTCTTGTGTCTGATCAGGGTGGAGTTCTGGTTGAAGCTTTTCCCGCACTCGAGGCATTTATAGGGTTTCTCTCCCGTGTGGGTTCGCTGATGTGTAATAAGGGCTGAGCTGTCACTAAAGCTTTTCCCACAGTCCAAGCATTTATAGGGTCTGTCTCCTGTATGGATTATCTGGTGTCTAAGACATTGGGGGCTCCAGTCAAAACTTTCCGCACACTCCAGGCATTTATAGGGTCTCTCTCGAGTGTGAATTCGCTGATGTGAAATAAGATTTGAGCTCTGATTGAAGGTTTTTCCACACATAATACATTTATATAGTTTCTCTCCCATGTGCAGTCTCTGATGTGTGATGAGGTCTGAGCTCTGGTTGAAGTTTTCCCCACAGTCCAGACATTTATAGGGTCTCTCTCCCGTGTGAATTCTCCAATGGGAAACAAGGTTTGAGCTACGACTGAAGCTTTTCCCACACTTGGTGCATGTGTTTTTTTTCTCGTCTCTGTGGATTCTCTGCTGGGCTGCGGTTTCCTCGAGGTCCTTGCCATTTCCCTTACAAATAGTGGTTTTATCCACTTTCTTCCCTGGCTGGTTTCCCTGCCACCTCTCTGACTTGTGTGGAATCTCCCAGGCTTTCCCCTGCTTATGACTCTGGAAAAAATTCCCTTTGGATCTTCCTGATAAAGTTTTGTGCAGTTCCACTTTCTCAGCGGCTTCCTGCTGAGAATTCGCCTCCTTGTTCTTACTCATCCTCCCATCACCTGCTGGAAACAGAGTGAGAGAGAATCAAAGACGTGTTATTCGCTGTGCCATGGTGGAAGGAAAGAAAGGGGAAGATCAAAGAGGAGAAACATAGCACAGTAACTGTTGGGGAGATCGAGAAAGGTAAAATTCCAATTGTCTGTAATTCCTGCGTTTCTAAAGTGGACATCTGATGCTCCATGATCAAGCAGGTTGTTCTTTCTCACCTTCCAGGCATGGAGACTACAAAGAGACTCCAGGCATGCTTGGAAGATGAGGAGGAATAATCCAATTATGGTGGATGGTGGAGTACCAGATAGCAAGCTCATGCCAGCTGTCGGTAACATTGGTTGGGGAACCATGAGTGAAAACCACCACGAGGATATATGCAAACATCTTGCTGGGATGTATTAGCAGGAGAGTTGTAAGCAAGACATGAGAAGTAATTCTTCCATTCTACTCTATGTTGATAAGGCCTCAGCTGGAGTAGTGTGTTCAGTTCACGGTGCCACACTTCAGGAAAGATGTGGACAAATTGGTGAAAGTCCAGAGGAGAGCAACAAAAATGATGAAAGGTCTAGAAAACATGACCCATGAGGGAAGATTGAAAAAACTGGGTTTGTTTAGAGAAGAGAAGACTGAGAGGAGACACGATAACAGTTTTCAAATACGTAAAAAGTTGTTACAAGGAGGAGGGAGAAAAATTGTTCCCCTTAACCTCTGAGGATAGGTCAAGAAGCAATAGACGTAAATTACGGCAAGGGAGGTTTAGGTTGGACATTAGGAAAAACTTCCTGTCAGGCTGGCTAAGCACTGGAATAAATTGCCTAGGGAGGTTGTGGAATCTCCATCATTGGAGATTTTCAAGAGCAGGTTGGACAAAGCCATGTCAGGGATGGTCTAGATAATACTTAGTCCTGCCATGAGTGCAGGGGACTGGAGTAGATGACCTCTCAAGGGCCCTTCCAGTCCTATGATTCTATAATCTGGATACGGCCCCGACGTGGGTGAGATGAGGCAGAACTAGAACAATTTGCTCACAACACATTGGTGGGAGTCCCAGCTTCTCCCTTCACTCCACAGATGGTTTCTGCATCAATTTCATTGACAACTCGCCAGCCTGGGCGTCTCTTGAGATCTCCCTTTCCTCAGAGGCCTGGGTATCCAGGACCCACGGCTCTTCCCCTCGTTCCAGCCGGGAGATCAGGTCAGGCTTGGGAAGGGGGGCGGTGGGGGGGGGGGGAATCAGCCATGATCAGGGTGTGTCAAGCATTGGAAGAGGTCAGATGTATTACAAAGAACATTCCTTGATTTTAACCTGGCCCTGTGCTGGGCTGTGGGGGACACGGACTCGGAATGGACAGGAACACAGTCACTGAGCCCCCTTGGGAGAGGCAGATGTCTGGAGGGGGCGCTTCCAGGATCTGGGCACTCTAGGGGATTTGCTGACGTTCGGCCCCCGCCTGTTCCTCAGTCTCCAGAGCCCTCCTCACAGATGGAGCTAGTCCCAGGAAGGGAGGGGGACAGGGCTTCTGTGTGTGAGTGAGAATTAATACAGGCAGGTCAACGCGCTGCTTCCGCCCCCTTGAAAGCCGTTGGGATGGGAATGAATCATCCTCTCCATTGTATTTCTGACTCCCTGACCTCATGGAAGAAGGCAAAGACAGTAAAGTCTCTCTCACACTGGATCTGGGGACACTGAAGCCTTGAAATCTAAGGCACCACAAGCCACATCACAGACCCCGCCTCCGCTAGCTTCCAATAACCGAGGGGACGGGAATCCCTTACCCAGCGAGGTCCCCGTCTCATAGTTCTGCATGACGTCCCTGTAGAGGGCTCTCTGAGCGGGGTCCAGCAGAGCCCCCTGCCCCTGGGTGAAATACACAGCCACCTCCTCGAAGGTCACCGGCATCTGAAACAACAAGAGTCCCCCACTCAGCACCTGCTGCCCCAGCCACATTCCCAAGGGAGGAGAGCAGGAGCCTTCCTGTTTATCACACACCCACTAGCCAGAGGCTGGCACAGGAGATGGAGACCCGGAGCAGGACCCAGGGACAGGAATCCCAACCCCCTCCCCATTCCCAGCAGCTGGGAGTGAGGGGACGGGGCCTCTCCCCTGGGCCTCACTGTTGGGTGCCCCCTTCATATTCCAGAGCAGCCTCTGGGTAGTAGGTTCAGGCTGCAGCACCAGGGATCTGTTAAGTTTTCCTTCCCAGGGGGGTTGTATCCTGTTCCAGAAATGGGCGAATTCCTCCCGCCCAAAGGGCCTCCTCTGAAAAAACAAGCCCCAGATTAACCAGGGCCCAGCAGGGTAGGCCCAGGCTGTCCTCCCCCTTCCTCGCTCTGCGTAATTCCTGCCCCTCCCCCTCTAGTAGAAACCCATCCTGCAGCTCCCTTAAAATCCCCTACCTGCACGAGCTCTGCTGCAGCCATTTCCCGGGGAGAACCAGGGCTGTTATTCTGGCGGAGCGAGAAGGGTGACCGACTGGAAGGGCCCCCGCCCGGTTCTTTCCCTGCAGACCGATATTCAGACTCTGGCAGGCTGGGAAAACCCTCAGTCATTTTATGACAGCGTCGCCCCGGGCCCTCTAACCCCACCGAGACACTTGAAAACCCTTCCAGGAACAGCGTCTCGGAGCCAGCTGTTAGATAAGAGCAGCATCAAAGAAGCCACTTTGGGGGATTCCCCCTGGCATAGGCGCCGACTCCATGGGTGCTCCGGGCCTGGAGCACCCACAGGGGAAAAATTGGTGGGTGCTCTGCACCCACCGGCAGCTCCCCACCCGGCCTCCACTCCACCTCCTCCCCTGAGCGCGTTGCCGCATCCTGCTTCTCCCCCCTCCCTCCCAGCGCTTGCACCGCAAAGCAGCTTGGGGGAGGAGGCGGGGCCGGGGCGGGGATTTGGGGAGGGGTCCAATAGGGACAGGAAGGGGGCGGAGTTAGGGCGGGGACTTTGCGGCAGAGGTGGAGTCAGGCTGGGGGCGGGGGCGGGGGTGCGAGCACCCATCGGCACAGAAAAAACTTGGCGCCTGTGCCCCCTGGGACAGTCCCCAAGGGCAGTGTGTCCCCCCAGCAGCGAGGGGTTTTGGCGGAAGGAAGAAGTGGCTTCTCCTCTCTCTGCTCCTCACATTCCCAGGAAAGTCAGTCTACCCAGGGATGCTGCAGGCAGGGCTTAATTTGTAATGAAAGAGGGACCGGGGCTCGAGCCATTTTTTTACTTTCATAACTGATGTGGCAAGCTCAGAGGTGCACCTGGGCCGGCCATTGTAAACCCAGGTTGACAATGCAGTGTGGATGCCCAAGACCTGGGGTTGCAATGCAGTGTAGACATACGCTGTGTGTCCCCTATTCTGCTTTACACCCCATGCCAGGTGGTCTTTGTGGCCCTTTCACTCCTCCCACCAGCTCTGTCCTACAACATGAAGCCCCATCTCCCTTAGTCTGGATGATCTGTGATCTCTTTCCAACACCACATCTGAGCAATTCCAGAATTCAGGGGAAATGTGGGTCTCACTGAGCCCCAATCTGGTTAGCACACAGATCACCTTTAACCACAAAGAACATAAGACTGGCCATATTGGATCAGAGCAATGGTCCATCCAGCCCAGTGTCCTGTCTTCCAACAGTGGCCAATGCCAGGTGCCCCAGAGGGAATGAACAGAAGATCAAGTGATCCATCCCATCACCCATTCCCAGCTTCCTGCAAGCAGAGATTAGGGACACCCAGAGCATGGAGTTGCATCCCTGCCCATCCTGGCTAATAACCATTGATGGACCTATCCTCCCTGCAATTATCTTGTTCTGTTTTGAACCCTGTTATAGTTTTGGCCTTCACAACATCCTCTGGCAAGGAGTTCCACAGATTGACTGCGCAAAATACTTCCTTTTGTTTGTTTTAAACCTGCTGCCTATTCAGTTCATCGGGTGACCCCTCCTTCCCCGGTTCTTGTGTGACGTGAAGAGGTGAATAATGTTTCTCTATTCACTGTCTCCAGACCAGTCACAATTTTATAGACCTCTACAGTCAGCTTTTTCTAAGCTGAACAGTCTCAGACTTTTTAACCCCTCTTCGTACAGAAGCTCTGTTTAAGCTCGGAAGCGTGTCTCTTTCACCAGCTGAAGTCAGTCCAACAAAAGAGATCACCTCCCCCACCTTGTCTGTGTAACATCACACACTCTCCCTTCTCCTCTGGGTCACTCTCTCTGCCCTCCCCTCTCTCCTTTCCCCACCATCACTGTCTTCTTTCTGACCCTTTCCCTTCCTGACAAGCAAACCCGAGAGACAAAGGACAACCCCCATCCCCTTATGGTCCCTCCATGCTGTTTTCCCAGCCTGATCCCCCCAGTTTGGCCTTTCCCCCAGGTCTCTCCCCATCACCTGCAGGCTTCGGCTCGGGAGCTGGTGTCGGCAGAGCCCAGGGCTGGTTCCAGCCACCGGAGAAAATCCCCACCCGGGCTGGGCACAGAGGAGGGTTAGTGCCCGTCTCTCCCCACACAGACCCCGCTGGGGAGCAGCAGTGTCTCTGCCTCTCAGCTCAAGGCTCACGCTGCAGCATGTGACCCAGGAAGCTCAGGCCCTGACATGCTGAGGCGGGAGAGAGGGACTAGAGCTCCCCTCCCGTTGCAATCACCAGAGCCCTCTGGCGGGGGGTGCACCAGCCTGTCTACACCAGTAGTTCTCAACCTTTCCAGACTACCACACCCCTTCCAGGAGGCTGCTTTGCCTCGCGAGCCCCCAAGTTTCACCTCACTTCAGAACCACTTGCTTACACAATCTGACAGGAAAATACAGACATGTCACGGCCACTAGTACTGACCAATTGGTGACTTTCTCGTTTATACCCTCTAATTATAAAAGAAATCAACAGGAATATAAATACTGTGCTTGCATTTCAGTGTACAGTCTATAGAGCAGTATAAACAAGTCACTGTCTGTCTGAAATTTTAGTTTGCACTGAGTTTGCTAGTGCTTTTTATGGAGCCTGTTGTAATACTAGGCAAATATCTAGATGAGTTGATGTCCCCGCCCCCCTCCCCCGAAGACCTCTGCGTACCCCTAGGGGTACATGGGCAGCGTGCGAACTGCCAGCTCGGTGACACTAGCTCCCAGCCCCACCCCTTCCACCTGAGGCCCCGCCCTTTCTTCCCCCCCCTGCTGGAGCCCTCACCGCAGCTGCCTGCCCCCACCCCAGGCTAGCGCCCCCAGCCCCAGAGCTCCGGGAGGGCAGGCAGCACCGAGCACCGAGCAGCGTAGCCCCAGGCCCAGAGCACCAGGCAGGCAGGCAGGCAGCAGGGTGACCAGACAGCAAGTGTGAAAAATCAGGATGGGAGTGGGGGATAATAGGAGCCTATATAAGAAAAAGACCCCAAAATTGGGACTGTCCCTATAAAATTGGGACATCTGGTCACCCTAGTGGGTGGTGTGGCCCCAGCCCTGGAGTGTTGGGCATGACCCCAGCCCCGGGGCACTGGGCAGGCAGGCAGCGCGGCCCCAGCTCCGGAGTGCCGGGTGGCACAGCCCCAGTGTCAGCCCCTCGGCACAGGTAAACTGGGAACCAGAGCAGGATGCGGGAGGGAGTCTGGGGGTGGCTGTTCGGAGAGGCTCAGCCTCCCACAGCCTGTGACACCTGCCGCCCATGGGTACACAGACCCCTGGTTGAGAACCACTGGTCTACACCACACTGGGAAGGCAGCAGGTGTAGACGCACTCTAGGTTGGATCCAACTAGCCAGGGGGGCTGGAACAATCTGTACAGTGGGGAGGGGGGGGGGGCTGAGAGCCATTGAACCAAACTGCAAACCCTGGATATGATGGAAACCACTTCAAGCCGGGGGGTGCGGCTGCCCCCCAACTTCCAGCACCTATGTAGCTAGCTCCACTACCAGCAGTGGTGGAGACGTGGCAGTCGGGAAAGCAGCACTGTCTAGCCTCTTAAGTACACACCCAGGGACCTGGTTGGGCTTGTGAAATTGGCAGCTCCAGAACCCCCGTTCTGTGTATCTGTAGTTCACACCAGCGGTTCTCAACCAGGGGTCCGGGACCCCGGCGGGGGGGGGAGGGCGCGAACAGGTTTCGGGGGGTCCGCCAAAATAAACCGGAGAGGAGGGTCGGCGTTAGACTAATGGCCCCATGGCAGAAAGCTGAAGTCTGAGCCCTGCCCCCCGGGCTGAAAGCCGAAGTTGGAGCCGCTTCGCTTCATCAGCCCCGTGTAGGGTTGGGCCCTGGGGAGCTCTGCTTGCTCCCCTCTCACGCGGGCCCTGGCTTTTAATCTACTGGATATGCAGAAAAACAGTTGTTGTAGCAGCGGAGGACTGTGGAATTTGAAAAGCCCTGATTTACGCCATCCTCTACCCTCCACCCGCCACACAGGTACATACAGTAGAACCTCAGAGTTACGAACCCCAGAGTTACAAACGGACCGGTCCACCACACGCCTCATTTGGAACCGGAAGTACCCAATCAAGCAGCAGCAGAGACCAGAAAAAAGCAAATACAGGACAGCGCTGGGCTCAATGTCAACTACTAAAAAAATAAAGGGAAAGTTTAAAAAAAAAAAAAGATCTGACAAGGTAAGGAAACTGTTTCTGTGCTTGTTTCATTTAAATGAAGATGGTTAAAAGCAGCATTTTTCTTCTGCAGAGTAAAGTTTCAAAGCTGTATTAAGTCACTGTTCAGCTGTAAACTTTTGAAAGAACCACGTTTTGTTCAGAGTTACGAACATTTCAGAGTTACGAACAACCTCTGTGCCCAGGGGGTTCATAGCTCTGAGATTCTACTATAGACTGACATGTGGCCACAGGCGCCGGCTTCCAATTTTCCCCGGGGGGTGCTCAACCCCGTCCCCACTCCACCCTTCCCCCGAGCCCACACCCCTGCCCCGCCTCTTCCCACCCCCACGCCACCCCTTCCCCCAATCCCCCACCCCGCTTCTTCCCCACCTCTTTCCGCTCCCTCCCCTGAGCACATCCCGTCCCTGCTCCTCCCCGTCCTTCCCGGTGCCTCCTGTACGTCCTGGAACAGCTGATCGACGGTGGGTGGGAGGTGCTGGGGGAGGGGAAGGGGAGCAGGCTGTTGGTGGGAGCTAAGCACCCCCTTATTTTTTTCCGGGTCGGTGCCTACATATGTGGCAGCGGTGCGTCACTTGAATCCGTTTCGGCTTCTTTGTTTTTCACTTGAGTTGTTATTTTTTTTCCTGTTGCACAAACAAGCCAACGGTCTCTTGTAATAAGAGCAAACGCAAAACTGGGATTTTGGTCCATGCTTACAATGAAATGTGCAGGCCGCGTCACAGCACCGTACCTACGGTAACGACTTTGTAGAATGCTCTGCAGGCATAACCGAAATCGGTCAGAATGCACAAGCGAGATCTCGAGTCAAAACGCACAGCGCCACCCGAGGACCTGATGGGTCTGGAGGAATGAGCGTTGCTAGTTATTCATGGCTGTGGGTAAAATGTAGGCAGCAAGGTTTTTTTTCCCCTAATGCTTCTCGCACCCCCCTCCAGAATACATTCTGCTTCCCCAGGATGGTATACCCCCCAATTTGAAAGCCTCTGCATTAAAGGGCCATTTTTATTCATTAGTCAAGGCAAAGGAATCCGGGAGTTTGAGAAATTAAATTCTACAAGCAAGAAATAAAAAACCAAATCCCCCCCACCCCACAGAGCTCACTTCAGCACGGTGCCTTTCAGCCCCAGCCCGGTACACTGCTGCTCCTGCTTCCTCCAGGCACCAGCCAGCCTGTGACAAGGAGTATGAACCCCACACTGGTGAGGCGAGGGTTAAAGAGCTGCTCTGGGCCCAAGAGGCCACTCAAACTCTGGGCGTAGAGCTCCCTGCCAGAGGTAAGAAGCCCCGGGCAGCTTCCCTCCTACTCCCAGCTGGGAGCATGGAGGTAAGAAGCCCCGGGGGGCAGCTAGGCTCCCAGTGGAGCGCTGCACGGGACGGAGAGCACTGGTTGTCAGTCCCCCACACTGCCCCTCTTCAGTCGGGGGAAGCGCACCACCGATCCAAGGAGGGTAGTGTGAATGTGCACCATGGCAGTAATTCATGCAGTGGCTGTAAGTCGACCTAACGGAGGTCGACTTATCTTTGTAGTGTAGACACAGCCTTAAAGAGGAGGATAAACTCTCCAGGGTTTGGACAACAGCCTTCTGTGGAAAGCGGAATTGTGATGCTGATGGGGGCAGGTTGAGTTAAATTAGGAACCGTAACACTTTTGAGGAACAGGACAGGAATCCTTTTAGTTCATCATCCTCTCCCTCTCCTAACACAGAGTCTGAAACAACCTACCTTCCATCCCCGCTCCAACTCTTTTATAATCTGAGTCATTCGGTGTTATAAATATATTTACAAACAAAACCCACAAAGGAAAAAAAACACCCCACAGCTCTTCAGGAGAAGTGGGAGAGAGCTGAGACGGAGCCACTCTCTCCCTGGAGGGGAAACTTGGAAACTGAAACCAGGAACATGAGTGGCTCTGAATGACTCAGGACTAGGCAAAGAAGCAAAGGCTTGGTCCAGGTCACCAGGAAAGAAGCTAGCTAACCCGGGCCGCTTTTCCTAGTCCAGACAGACCCTCAGAGCTCGATGCTTCTAGGACTGAGGTGGGATTCCTAGACTCTAGGCTTTTTAAAGTCCCCCACCAGAGGCCCAGTGAAAATCAGTCCCTCTGAATTTGTGAATGTGGGCAGGGAAAAGGGGAAGAGGAGTTAATGACTGGAGACAGGACCTTCCTAACCGCACCCCTCCCCTCTTATTCCATGATCCCCAAACGTTCAATAACCCCAGCACCCAGCCCCCTTTCACTCCCATCTCCCCCAGTCTCAACAGTTCAATCCCCCAGTTCCCTGCCCAACACCCGTCCCTCCCAGTCCCTTAACGGTTGATCCCCTGGGGGGATTCGGGGAGGGGAGGAATTACCAGCCCCCAGGGACACTTCCCCTGCAGGGAACAGCTCCAGGTAAGTGGGGGAGCCCAGCCCATAGAGGAAGATGGGGGTTGGGGACAGGTGTCTAGTGTGAAGGTGGGGCCTGGCCCAAGTGTCCTTCTCCTCATCTCCATGGCAGGGGGAGCCCGGCTGGGAGGGGAAGGGAGAGGGGGGGATCTTCAGCCAGGCAGAGGGAACGGCTGGCGGAGTTTCTCTCTCTCCCTTCCCCCACCTGTGGCTCAGCACCCAGGGCTGCAGCAGGGAGGAGGGGCTGATCGGGGCTTCTCCTCCTCTGCCTGGGGTTTGCTTCGACCAGGCAGAGCCAGAGGGTCACTGACCAGCTGCTGCTGGGTTCTCACCCCAGCGATGGGCAGATGGATCCTTGGGAGACAAATGCCCCTGATGTGGGTGGGAATGAGGAAATGTTGGGTTTTTTAAACGATAGCCAGCCCTAACCTGGGCACTGATACAATTTTCCCTCCGGTGTGGAGGAGTCTCTGATGTCCAATATGGCATTCACGCCACCTGAAGGATTTTCCTTGCTAAGGGTGTTTAAGAGGTCTCTTCCCTATGTCGAGCTGCTGATGCACGAGACAATCAGAGCCCAGCTGATGTTTCTTCCACATTCGAGGGATTCTCTCCAGTGTGCAGCCTCTGGTGTCTAGCAAGGGTGGAGATCCGGCTGAAACTTTTCCCACAGCCGGTGCATTCATAAGGTTTTTCTCCGGTGTGAATCCTCTGATGCGCAGTAAGCGCTGAGCTCCAGTTGAAGTTTTTCCCACAGACAAGGCAGCTATACGGCCTCTCCCCCGTGTGGACTCGCCGGTGCGTAATAAGAACGGAGCTCTGAATGAAACTTTTCCCGCAGTCCGAGCATTTATAGGGTTTGTCACCCCTGTGGATCCTCTGATGTTGGAAGAGGTTTGAGTTCTGATTGAAGCTTTTCCCGCAGTCCAAGCATTGATACGGTCTCTCGCCGGTGTGCGTTCTCTGATGTGCAACCAGGTTTGAGCTCCAGTTGAAACTTTTCCCACATTCAAAGCATTTATAGGGTTTTTCCCCCGTGTGGGTTCTCTGATGTTTAATAAGGCCGTAGTTCTCAACAAACCGCTCCCCACACTCAGTGCACGTATAGGATTTCTCTCCTGTGTGTTGTTTCTGATGCCTGGTAAGGTTTGATCTGGATTGGAACGTTCTCCCACAGTTGAGGCATTCGTAAGGTCTCTCTCCCTTGTGGATTCTCTGGTGCGCATTCAGGTTTGATTTGTGAACGAAGCTTCTGCCACAGACGAAGCATTTATGGGGTTTCTCCCCTGTGTGGATCCTCTGATGCACTATAAGGTGCGATCGGTAATCGAAGCTTTTCCCACAGTCGAGGCATTTATGGGGTTCGTCTCCCGTGTGGGTTCTCTGATGCACATTCAGGCTCGAGCTCTGAGTGAAGCTTTTCCCGCACTCGAGGCATTTATAAGGTCTCTCTTCCTTGTGGTTCCTCTGATGCACGATAAGGTGGGAGCTGTGAACAAAGCTTGTCCCACACTCGCCGCATTTATAGGGTCTCTCTTTGGTGTGGATTCGCTGATGCGCCACAAGGTGGGAGCGCTGATTGAAGCTTTTCCCACATTCAAGGCACTGATAGGGTTTTTCTCCCGTGTGGATCCTCCGGTGCGCAACAAGGTGTGCGTTCTTAAGGAAGCTTTTCCCACATTCGGCGCATGTGTTTTTTCTCTCTCTCATGGGGACCCTCTGCTGGGCAGGGGGTTCCTTGAGCTCCTGGCCTCCTCCCACACCATGAATTGGTTCACCCACTTTTTTTCCCAGGCTCATTTCCCTGCCGCCTCTTTGACCCGCACTGACTCTCCCAGGTTTTCCCCTGCACAGAGCTCCAGCAAACATTCCCTTCAGATCTTTCCGATAACGCCCCCTGTCGTTCCATTGGCTCAAGACCTTCCTGCTGAGGTTTGGTCTCACCCGCCACCCCATCACCTGCAAGGACGGAGAGACAGAGAGAAGCCGGAGGTGAGTTATTCCCTGTGCTGGGGAAAAGGGGGAACAGCAAAGAGAGCAAACCCAACACAATAACTTTTGGGGAGATTGAGAAACCTTGGAGAGACATTTCCCCCGGCCCAGGAGGATCAAGGATGCTGAACTGACACCGGCTGGGATTTGAGAGATTCTGGACCATTAATGTTTGTAAACTCCCTGAGCACTCAGTGTTCTCTTGGGTCCAACTGGCACCTGGTTAGCCAGGTGACTCATAGGCTTCTCTTCTCAAATGCAGGTTGTTTTAATTATTAGATGCCTTAGGTCAGGGGTGGGCAAACTACAGCCGAGGGGCTGCATCTGGCCCTTCATATGTTTTAATCTGGCCCTTGAGCTCCTGCTGGGGAGTGGGGTCCGGGTCTTGCACTGCTTCAGCGCTCCAGCTGGGGAGCAGCGTGGCTCCCAGAAGCAGCGGCATGTCCCCTCTCCGGCTCCTACGCAGGGGCGCGGCCAGGCGGCTCTGCGTAGGAGCCGGAGAGGGGACATGCCGCTGCTTCCGGGAGCTCCTTGAGGTAAGTGCCACCCAGGGCCTGCACCCCTGACCCCCTCCCGCACCCCAACCCCCTCCCCCAGCCCTGATCCCCCTCCCACCCTCCGAACCCCTTGGTTCCAGCCTGGAACATCCTCCTGCACTTCCAAGCCCCACCCCAGAGCCCACACTCCCAGCCAGAGCCCTCACCCCCCCTGCACCCCAACCCCCAATTTCCTCAGCATTCCAGCCCACCATACAATTTCCATACCCAGCTGTGGCTCTTGGGCCAAAAAGTTTGCCCACCCCTGCCTTAGGTTGTGAGCGGCTCGGAGCAAAGACTGTCCTTCATGAGGGCTTGGTAAGCACCCAGCACCCAGAAGCCTCGAGTGTAAACACACAGTATAAGTAATCAACACATCTTCCAGCTTACGCAGGGAGGGGCGGGGGCGGGGAGGGAGACACGGATGTGTGGAAATGAAAGTCTCTCTCACCCTGGATCTGGGGACCTTGGGACCCAGTCCCCTGAAATCTAACAGACTAGGGAAGAACCTGAGCAGAAATAATAACCGAGGGGACAGGAATCTCTTACCCAGCGAGGTCACCGTCTCGTAGTTCTCCTGCATGACGTCCCTGTAGAGGGCTCTCTGAGCGGGGTCCAGCAGAGCCCCCTGCCCCTGGGTGAAATACACAGCCACCTCCTCGAAGGCCACCAAACCCTGAAACAACAAAAATCCCCAGCTTTGCCACCTGCTGCCTCAGCCACAATCCCACTAGTCACAGGGAGAGAGGGCAAAAAACTAAAAACTCAGAGCTCTGGGAAGACAGACTAGCAGGCTCCCACCCTCACCCTGCTCAGAGCAGCCAGGAGGCTGCTGTGAGTGGGGAGAAAGAGAGAGCTCCTTGTCCCACTCAGCACATGGAGGATGGCAGGGGCCTTCCCGTTTATCACACAGCTACTAACCAGGGAGATAGAGCCACAGGGCAGGGTCCTGGGACAGGAATCCCAACATCCTCCCCATTCCCAGCAGCTGGTTGGAAGGAACGGGGCCTGTCCCCCGGACCTCACCGCTGGGTGTCCCCTTCATATTCCAGAGCACCCTCTGGCTAGCTCGCTCAGGCTGGGTATCTGGTCAATTTTCCCAGCCTGTCCATGGGGGCTGTGGGGGGCTGTTTTTCCAGAAATGGGGGAGTTTCCATCCCCCCCATCCCAATGGGCCTGTTTTGAAAATCAGGCCCCCAGAAGTGAACAACAGGGTCCCAGCAGGTTTATCGCACCCTGTCCTCCCCCCACTGCATTTCCTGCTCTTCCCCTTCTAGTACAAACCCAGCAGCAGCTCCCTGGAAATCCCCAACCTGAGCAGACTGCACCATCACAGCCCATCTCCCAGGAGGGCTAGTGGGTACAATCCGGAGCGAACCCTGGGTGTCCCTAGCTAGCCTCTGATCGCCAGAAGCTGGGAATGGGTGATGGGGATGGATTACTTGATGATCACCTGTTCTGTTCATTCCCTCTAGGGCACCTGGCCTTGGCCACTGTCGGAAGACAGGACACTGGGCTAGATGGACCTTCGGTCTGACCCGGTGTGGCGGTTCTCATGTTATTCTGCAGCCTGCCAGGGGGACTGGGCAGGTGCAAAGGGGGCCTGAGTCCATGTCACACCCCGACCCCTGGGTCGCTTTATCCCACAAAGAGCAGAATCAAAAGGGCCACTTTGGGGGGAATCCCACCCTGGCAGTCCCCGGGGACTCAGGTGGGCCAGGACCTGGCTTTTCCTCTCCTGGCTCCTCACTTTGTTCCCAGGAAAGTCAGCTCTGCCTGGGGTGCTGCAGTGAATGGATCTGGGCGGGGCTGGGAACTTTGAACCGCTTCCAATTTGCCCACCCCCCTTGCTTCTTTTCTGCCTCCTTCCTTCTCTTCTTCCGCCTGGATCGGATCCGGATCGACTCCGGTGAGCGCTAACCGGAGTCAGAGCCTGCGCCTCTCCCTGGGGTGGGGGAGCTCCGGGACTCGCAGACACGCGGGGAGCACAGATGGGGCCGCTTGTGCAGAGTCACTTTCCTGCCCGGCCCCGGGTCCCCCCATCACCTGCAGGCTCCGGCTCGGGGGCTGGGGCGGGCAGAGCCCGGGGCGGGAGGGGGGTTAGTGCCGGTCTCGCCCCGCACGGACCCCGCTGGGAAGCAGCACCTGACCCAGGAAATTCACTCCTAGGTGGCTGATATCCTGAGCAGAGAGAGACAGACACCGGCCGCCTCTTCCGGAGCCAGACCCAGAGCCCTCTGGTGGCAAAGCGAAAGAACCAGCTTTCCTGGGCGCCCTCCTTCCCCCTCCCCTGGAAAGAGGAGCAGACCCCCTGGAGCCCCTCCCCACCGGCCCTGGCCTTGCAGTGACTCTGGCTAGTGAATCCTAAGCAGGGCTTCATTTGGGCCAGGGATTCCGGCACCTCCGGGCAGGGCCGGCTCCAGGCACCAGCCCTCCAAGCATGTGCTTGGGGCGGCACCTGGAGGGGGGCGGCGCTCACCTCGGGAGAGCGGGGCCACGGCCGGGCTCTCCGCCCTCCCCCCGGCGCTCCGGCCGGCCAGGGAGAGTGGGGCCACGGCCAGGCTCTCCACCCTCCCCCCGGCGCTCCGGCCGGCCAGGGAGAGTGGGGCCACGGCCAGGCTCTCCACCCTCCCCCGGCGCTCTGGCTGGCCGGGGAGAGCGGGGCCGCGGCCGGGCTCGCCGCCCTCCCCCCCGGCGCTCCGGCCGGCCAGGGAGAGTGGGGCCGCGGCCAGGCTCTCCGTCCTCCCCCCGGCGCTCCGTCTGGCCGGGGAGACAGGTGCCCCAGCCAGGCTTGCCGCCCTCCCCCCCCGGCGCTCTGGCCGGCCGGGAAGAGCGGGGCCGCGGCCGGGCTCGGCACCCTTCCCTGCCACGCTCCCCGGGGGGACGGCGTCGGGAGGCTTTTTTGCCTGGGGTGGCAAAAAAGCCAGAGCCGGCCCTGCCTCCGGGCCTGGCAGTTCAGAGCCCCGGCACCTCTTGTGGGTCGGTTGTGATCTGTTTTGCCTGGCATTTGCTGACCCTGTAGTAACCCAAAGCCAGTTAGTGCAAATAATGACTCAGATCAGCCCTGAGTGTTAAGACGGGGGTTTTGTCAAGCCAGACCCCCAGCTGGTGTAGATCAGGCCCGGTGGAGGGTTGCAACACACACATTTTGCCCAGACTAAGGGTGTGGCTAGATTCTGCAGCACCTTCAGCCAGCAGGGTCGGGGTAACCCAGCAGACAGGGTGTAAGACAGAAACATGGTTCCCTGTTGCGGGGGAGGGGTGTTGTTTCTTACCTTCACTCCAACCAGTGCCCTCTCTGGCCTGGGGTCCTCGGCTCTTGTGGAAGGGAACCTCTGTCTTCCCAGTATGGGATGTCCTGGGGCACTGGGAGAGTCTCTTGTTGGAGTAGCAGGAATGTTACTCCTCCATATTCACCTCTCACAGCTGCAGCAGCCAGGGAGGCTCTGGGCTCTTGTGAACGGCAATGCAGGGAATCAGGAATTCACCCAGCAACCAAGCGTTACTGTAGCCAGTGCAGGGGACCTGGTTCTTGACATGGGCTATGGGGTGGGATTCCCTGGGCAGGTCATAGAATCATAGAATCATAGAATATCAGAGTTGGAAGGGACCTCAAGAGGTCATCTAGTCCAACCCCCTGCTCAAAGCAGGACCAATTCCCAGCTAAATCATCCCAGCCAGGGCTTTGTCAAGCCGGGCCTTAAAAACCTCCAAGGAAGGAGATTCCACCACCTCCCTAGGTAACACATTCCAGTGTTTCACCACCCTCCTAGTGAAATAGTTTTTCCTGATATCCAACCTGGACCTCCCCCACTGCAACTTGAGACCATTGCTTCTAGTTGTGTCCTCTACCACCACTGAGAACAGCCGAGCTCCATCCTCTTTGGAGCCCCCCCTCAGGTAGTTGAAAGCAGCTATCAAA